TTTTCCTCCCAACAGATTGTTTCCAGCAGCTCTTTTTTTTTTTCTCTGCAGATTTTGTGGTGCATATTAGGTCTTTATTATTTTAGTATCTTTCCAGCAGCAATTGCTCTTTGAGTATACAAAAGATACAGCCCATATATTTTCCCTGCAGCTTTTTTTTTCTCCCAGCAGATTGTTTCCAGCAGCCTCTCTTTTTTTCTCTGCATATTATTATTTTAGTATCTTTCCAGCAACTTTCCAGCAACAACTTTCCAGCCATTATCTTTCTTCTTTTTCCAACAAAAGTTGTTCTTCTTATACTTTAAAGAAGACTCAAAAGAATCTCTTCAAACTCCTTTAAATTAGGTATGCTTTCTTCTCCATAAAATATTTTCTTTCAGCATGTACATCACCATGTGACAACCCTTCCCAAAAATTTTTACTAGACCCTAAGTCCAAGTAGTCCCAACAAAGACCCTTCTTGAAAGGATGAATAACCTACTGCCTTATTTCATAACAAAAGCTGTAGCCTCTTTTCTTTTTATTATTTTATTATTTTATTTTTACTTGAACAAAAAAAACCTGCTGCCTTTCCAGCAGATTTTTTTTTCCTAGCCCAAAGACCTTTTTTTTCACAGTTTAATCTGCTCTCTTTTTTTTACCTTCCAGCAGAAATTTTCTTCTCCATGAACCTTTTTTATAACCCATGAAAATTTCCATGAACCGTTTTATAACCCATATGAACCTTGTGTATAACCTGCTGCCATTGGCAAATATGGCCTAGAAATAAAGAGAGCCCATTTTTGCTAGACAACAAACCTAAAACAAAAAACTGCGGCCCCTTTTTTTAGCTGCTGCCCCATTTTTGTTGCCCCATTTTTTCCTTGTTGCTGCTAGTCATCAGACCAAACAGACTTTTTTTTATATGATGGCAACAAAGGCGGCCCATTTTGCTAGACCCAAATACTCTAACAAACAAAGACCAAGTAAAAAAAACGGCAACCCCTTTTAGCTGCTGCCCCTTATATATTTTGTTGTTAGATCATGAACTTAACAAGCCCAAATAAAGTCCTTGCCCTATACAAACAAAAGAGCCCTCTTTTTTTTTTTTATAAGCAGCAAGAATTTTTTTCTTTCTTTTTTTTTTTATTTTTTATTTTTTATATTCTTTTGATAGAACCAACCAACACAAGTTGCTTTGCCTATCATTTGGGGAACAAACTATCTATTTATTTAGCAAATTTGTGCAAAGACAGTCTCCCTTTTTTTTTTACAGCAGCAACCTGTTTGTTGCTTTGTTGTATAGTAGATTTTTTTTGTGATTTTTTTTTTGAACAAATTTTTTTTTTAAGCTTGCTACCTTTTATTTTATTTTCTATTAGTAGCAGCCTTTTGTACAATTGGCCAAATTTTTTGTTAAAATTCGAATCAGCCTTGCCCCCTCGTGATTCGTGCAAGTGAATTTTAATTGTACGAATCATGATGACTGATTTCCTTTTTTTTTTTATTTTTAGTTAACGATTATTTCATGTCTTTTCCCCTCTTTTACAGGCAACCCGCAAGGCATCAGAGTTTGTTTGCAAGTATCATTGCCCCTTCTAGCCTAATGGCAATGAGTGACTTGAATCCTTGGCAATGATTGTGTCCTTTCACCCCAATGGCTTGAATCCTTGGCAGTGATTGTGTCCTTCACCCCAACGGCTTGAATCCTTGGCAGTGAATGTGTCCTTCACCCAAATGGCTTGAAACTTTGGCAGTGATTGTGTCCTTCACCCCCAACGGCTTGAATCCTTGGCAGTGATTGTGTCCGTCACCCCAACGGCTTGAATCGTTGGCAGTGATTGTGTCCTTCACCCCAACGACTTGAATCCTTGGCAGTGATTGTGTCCTTCACCCCAATGGATTGAATCATTGGCAGTGATTGTATCCTTCACCCCAATGGCTTGAAACCTTGGCAATGATTGTGTCCTTCACCCCAATGGATTGAATCATTGGTAGTGATTGTGTCCTTCACCCCAATGGCTTGAAACCTTGGCAATGATTGTGTCCTTCACCCCAATGGCTTGAATCCTTGGCAGTGATTGTGTCTGTCACCCCAACGGCTTGAATCCTTGGCCGTGATTGTGTCCGTCACCCCAACGGCTTGAATCATTGGCAGTGACTGTGTCCGTCACCCCAACGGCTTGAATCCTTGGCAGTGATTGTGTCCTGCACCCTAATGGGTTGAATCCTTGGCAGTGATTGTGTCCTTCACCCCAATGGCTTTGAATCCTTGGCAGTGATTGTGTCCTTCACCCCAAGGGCTTGAATCCTTGGCAGTGAATGTGTCCTTCACCCCAACGGCTTGAAACCTTGGCAGTGAATGTGTCCGTCACCCCAACGGCTTGAATCCTTGGCAGTGATTGTGTCCTTCACCCCAATGGCTTTGAATCCTTGGCAGTGAATGTGTCCTTCATCTCAACGGCTTGAATCGTTGGCAGTGAATGTGTCCTTCACCCCAAGGGCTTTGAATCCTGGGCAGTGAATGTGTCCTTCACCCCAACGGCTTGAATCGTTGGCAGTGAATGTGTCTGTCACCCCAACGGCTTGAATCCTTGGCAGTGAATGTGTTCGTCATCCTAACGGCTTGAATCCTTGGCAGTGATTGTGTCCTTCACCCCAACGGCTTGAAACCTTGGCAGTGATTGTGTCCTTCACCCCAAGGGCTTGAATCCTTGGCAGTGATTGTGTCCGTCACCCCAACGGCTTGAATCCTTGGCAGTGATTGTGTCCTTTCACGATTCTTACTTGAATCCTTGACAGTGATTGTGTCCTTCACCCTAATGGGTTGAATCCTTGGCAGTGATTGTGTCCTTCACCCCAATGGCTTGAATCCTTGGCAGGGAATGTGTCCGTCACCCCAACGGCTTGAATCCTTGGCAGTGAATGTGTATGTCACCCCAACGGCTTGAATCCATGGCGGTGATTGTGTCCTTCACCCCAATGGGTTGAATCCTTGGCAGCCGTCACCCCAACGGCTTGAATCTTTGGCAGTGATTGTGTCCTTCACCCCAATGGGTTGAATCCTTGACAGTGATTGTGTCCTTCACCCCAATGGCCTGAATCCTTGGCAATGATTCTGTCCGTCACCCCAACGGCCTGAATCCTTGGCAGTGATTGTGTCCGTCATCCCAACGGCTTGAATCGTTGGTAGTGATTGTATCCGTCATCCCAACGGCTTGAATCGTTGGCAGTGAATGTGTCCGTCACCCCAACGGTTTGAATCCTTGGCAGTGAATGTGTCATTCACCCCAATGGCTTTGAATCCTTGGCAGTGAATGTGTCCTTCACCCCAACGGCTTGAATCCTTGGCAGTGAATGTCCGTCACCCCAACGGGTTGAATCCTTGGCAGTGAATGTGTCCTTCACCCCAATAGCTTAAAACCTTGGCAAGGGGCTTTCGTCAATTTCTTTATATTATGACATTTTGCCTTCACCCCTTTTTTTTTTTTTTTTTTTTTTTTAGGAAGCATGGAAAAGACACTTGAATATCTTCGATGTGACGAGAGGGATGTATTGGACACAAACCTATCACTACTTTAAGAGAATGGAACATGAAAAATTGAAGTGGGATAATTCTTTTAATGTCCGTGGCATTTCTACCCATTTGCAATCCCCTATATGGATTTTTTGGTCGAATGACGTTCTTTCCATATTTGCCCCTATTTTGAAGAAGTGTGGGATTTATGCTACAATCTATGTATCCCAATTTGCTTATGCTAGGAATGTCTCCCTGCTCAAAGGATTCTTAGAGCGGTGGTCACCCGACACCAACACTTTCCACACCATTTTCGGCGAACTTGGGATCTCTTTATGGGACCTTCATCGCATTAGCGGGCTCCCCATCCGTGGCGAGTTTTATGAAGAGTTCACCCCCTCCAATGACATTTTATATTCGTCCCAGACATCCAAGGCGTGCCGTGGGCTTTTCAACATTTAGGCCAGCTCTTTTCAATCCAAGAAGTTTAACCACTGGACTTTCAAATTCATTGAGGAATCCCCAACTTCGATTAGTGGTTTTCAACGAAAAGATAGAATTCCTGATGATGTGTATCTTTCTGTTTTTTTGGCAAGCTGGCTTAGCGGATTTGTCTTCCCTCACTCTTCCGGGGAAATTCGTCCGACTACGTTTCATGTAGCCACCAAGAGTATAAACTGTTTAGTCCAAAAACTAAACAGTGGACATTTGTAACATTGGATACTCCTGGCCCGCAAGAGTATAAACTGTGTACGGCCAAACAAAAGTAAAAAAAACCACCAATGGTATTGTATGTGGTTAAACTGCTAAAATATCCCACCGAAATCTAAGGTGGTAAAACATTGGATACTCCTGGCCCGCAAGAGTATAAACTGTGTGCGGCCAAACAAGAGTCCAATACCACCAACAGTATTGTATGTGGTTAAACTGTTAAAATATCCCACCGAAATCTAAGGTGGTAAAACATTGGATACTCCTGGCCCGCAAGAGTATAAACTGTGTACGGCCAAACAAAAGTCGAGGACCACCAACGGTATTGTATGTGGTTAAACTGCTAAAATACCTCACCGAAATCTAAAGTGATAAAACATTGGATACTCCTGGCCCGCAAGAGTATAAACTGTGTACGGCCAAAAATAAGACAAATCAATGTATTGTATTGAGAAATTTCATATAACAAATAAATCTATCACTGAGCGAAATTTCATAAATACATTATGTTCGGATGAATAACAAAATAAAAGTGCATTCATTCATTAAGAGAAGCCTTAGCCCTTTCAAAGGCACGTTCCACAACACTGTGTTGTTCATTGTTTTTCTTGTGTTGGCTCAAAACATTCAGAGCAGTTTGCACGGCTTCTTCTGATTTAGAAACACTCTCGGAAGCTCGTGCAAAATCACACATAAATGATGCATGTTCGGCTTGGGTGGATGACAATTCCTCTTCAAGTTGTCTGAGTAACTCTTTGGTTTGAATAATCCTTTGCTTATGACCCGCAATGTGCTAATCCGACTTGATAATTGAAGTAGACAACTGTTCATGCTCGCCAGAAACTTTGTCAAAATGAAGCTTCTTCTCATAGTATTGGGCCTCAAATTCTGCAATAGACAAGTTTGAAGAATCTGCAAGTTGGGTTTTCAAAGCAAAGCACCCAAGGAATATCTTCACCTTCTCATAAAAGGAGATGAAGTCTACACCCAAACTCTTTAAAATCATGAAAACGTTGTTTGCTACAGCAATCATGCCATTAACATCGGTCATTGATTGGAGAGAAATAGTAAGACCTTTCTGAATATGGGTGGCTGCTTCGTTAGAGGAAATTCCCAAAAGAAGGCCAGATGAAGCAAAGGGTGCTTCAAGTTTGTCAAATAATTTGTTAACCCCATTTGCTTCAAGTAAGTCTGCAAGAACGTCTACCTCTTCCAATGTATTAGAAGTAATTTCTGTGAAAATAGAGAGAGACACTCAATGAAAAGATAGAGAGTAAAAATAATATATATATGTGTGTGTGTGTGTGTGTGTTTGTGTGTGTGTGTGTGTGGATAAGTAAAGTGTACTTTGTTGAGACTTAGGTGTGGGAGAAAACAAGTTGTGATTCCCGCAGGTGAACCACGGATTCTACAATGTGGCATGATCTAAAGAGAAAAGAGTTCCTTGATACATAATGGAATAAAATGAGGTACAAGGAATGAATAAGAATACCCTTAAAGGTAGCCAATGGCATATGCGAGGCAGCTGGGGAAGTTTGAGGCGCAGTGCCTAAGAAAATGAAAGGTATTAAAAATAAAAAATAAAAAAATAAAATAAAAATAAATAAAAATAAAATAAAATAAAATAAAATTTATACCTTTCTCTAATAGCTTGGATGACTCGTTCGAAGGAGAAGAAAAAGCTACATTCGCTGAGGGCAATTTACTCATCTTAGTCGGTGTGCCATCCAAAAGAGGGGTGTAGTCATAAAACTCATCTTCACTCTCGTTACTTCCATTGAGAGAACAATCAAAAGATTTGGTAGGAGAAGGAATTTCAACACTCTTAATGCGAATACGACCCAAGGCAGTTAATTCATACCCATCTCCCTCAAAGAGTTCTTGAATCATATTCTCATCTTTATCTTCAAGAAAAGAGTACAAGTATGTGCAAAATTGATCCATTGGGGTTTTGGTCGCTACGGTGGGTTGGGAAGTTCCTGTACAATCACTGATAGACATAGTCTCTGGAAAAAGCTTTGCGAGACTAGAAAATTGGGGACCAGAATCTGCTTGCTCAAAGCTAAATCTCATTTTAAATTGAGAATTACACATATCCTCGAAAAGATGAAGGAGATCTGAAGCCGAGTAACTAGATCGAGAAGGAGCAATAAGTGGTCGACTATTATCCATTCTCTGAAGTGATGATGCTTCCAGAGCAATAGGTGAAGATGATGACCTAGCTCTAGAGTAAGGAGGATTTTTCGTCTTTCGGTCTTTAATTGACATATCTAGTTTTCTCTTGCGTGAAGATTTCGACTGGGAATGAGTAACATATTGAAGCACGGTAAAGGAAGTTCCCAACCACCAATTGGCATAAGGCATGGTTACGTGAGAAGTAGATCGGGAGCCTGGTAACTCCAATGAGACTTTTGTACCGCAGCGTAGCATATGGCGCCAGTTGTAATAAAATTTAGACCACTCAGAGGGCTGCCGACAAGATACATTAAGCGGTATAGGGCATGCTTGAGCAAACCCAAATTGACGACCATATCGGCTAGGGGAGTACGGTTCAGAAATGAAATTAAATCCCATTTTAAAAGTTAAAACCCCTTGCCTCAAAGATATAAGATAGCCAAGATGGAAAGATGATATCCTTTCAGAGTCGACCAGAATGCCTGAAGGTTTACCTTCATGGGTCAGAGCCCTAAACTGACACTCCGTACGATAAGTTAGGAGAGAGTCCACAAATGGAAATTTATCATTAAAAAACTGGGCTGCCGATTGGTTTCCAATAAACCCAAGATATGGCATGAAATGAATATCAGGCATTAGACAAATCAACTGAGGATCCCCATGAGAGTAAGTCTTGACAAAATATAGTGAAATCCATCCAAAAAAGTAATGTAAAGGACCTTGAATATTTTCCTTCCCAGGTGAAGATGATGATGCCATTTTACCAAGAAAAATGATAGAGGTATGCAAGGACGAGGATGGCCAGGCTAAATAAGGTTCCACCTGCCATTTTGGTGGCTACATGAAAGGTCGTCGGACGAATTTCCCCG